GCCCAATACCCCAGGGAGGGGGCCTAAACCAGCGGGCCTAAACCAGCAGGTGGCCATCCCCCAAGGGGTTCCCCGACTGTGAGAGGACACAGGCCGGGCTGAGGGCCCCCCTCTCCCCCCCGAGTGCACAAATTTTTGTGCACCGGGCCTCTAGTTTAGATATAATTCATGTACCATGAAATTCACTTTATTAAAGTCTACAATTCAGTGGTTTTAGTAAACAACATCATCACTAATCCCAGAACATTTTCACCACCAGAGAAAGAAATGCTGTAACCATTAGTCAATTTTTGTTGTTTCTTCCCCCCAGTCCCTGAGAACCACTATTGTCTACTTTCTATTGCTATAAATTTGCCTATTTTGGACATCCTATTGAATAAAAGGCTAATATGCAAATCGACCTAACAGCAGAACGACTGAGCAATGACACTATGACATGCACTGACCACCAGGGGGCAGACGCTCAATGCAGGAGCTGCCCCCTGGTGGTCAGTGCGCTCCCACAGGGGGAGCAACTCAGCCAGAAGCCAGGCTCACAGCTGGCGAGGGCTCACAGCTGGCAAACACAGCAGCAGTGGCAGCAGCGCTAAGTATGTCAGACTGCACATTCGGAGCCCCAGACTGTGAGAGGGTGCAGACTGGGCTGAGGAACCCCCCCACCCCCTGCCCCAGTTCACGAATCTTGTGCACCAGGCCTCTAGTTTTATATAAGTGGAATCATGTGGCCTTTTGTGACTAGCTTCTTTCATCCATGTTATGGCATGTAACAGTACTTTATTTCTTTTTATGGCCAGACAACATTCCATTCTGCAGATATAACACATTTTATTCATTAGTGGACAGACATTCGGGTTGCTTCCACTTTTTAGCTTTTATGAATAATGTAAGTTTTTGCATGGACATGTGATTTCAATTCTCTTGGGTATATAATTAGGAGGGGAATTGCTGGATCATATGGTAACTCTGTGTTTAACTTTTTGAGGAACCGCCCAACTGTTTTCCAAAGGGGTGGCACCATTTGGCATTCCTACCAACAATGCATGAGGGTCCAGCTCCTCTACATGCTAATCAACACTTGGTGTTTTCTGTCTTTTCAAGTATAGTCATCCTAGTAGGTTGAAGTGGTCTCTCATTGTGGTTTTAATTTGCATTTTTGTAATGACTTACCAAATTGAGCACCATATTGCATCTTATTGGTCATTTATATGTATTCTTTGAAGAAAAAGTTATTTAAATCCTTTCCCATTTTTAAATGTGTTGTCTTTTTATTATTGAGTTGTAAGAATTATTTATATATTCTGGATACTAGATCTTGATCAGATAAATAATCAGCAAATATTTTCTTTCATTCTGTGGCTTGTCTTTCTTGATGATGTCCTTTGTATTTAATTTTGATGAGGTCTAATTTATTTATTATTTACTTTGTAGTTCATGCTTTTCAGTTAGGACACTTAATAGAAAGTGTCATATTCTACTCTCATGTCAGATTCTAATCATCCAGCTTACTTTAGGAAGCCTACTTTCCATAGCACAATACATTACTCCGTGATGGAAGGACATTGGGGTGGGCGGAGTTGGGGTAGAGTGAGGTAGAAATAACATGGGTGTTAGAGTCTTAAGATCGAATCCAGCTCTTCTATCATGGGAATTAAGTATTTAATCTTCCAAGGTTCAGTTTTCTATCTGGAAAATGGGGTAATAAGAGTTCCTATTTCATAAGTTAATTGTGAAGTTTGAATTAGCAAATTTGTGAAAAGAGCTTAACATATACCTGACACACAGTAGACGTCTAATAAATGTACATTTGTCATTGTCATGAAGAAGTTCTGAATCAAATCTGGACTTAACCAAGATTATCTAACAGAACTAAAGTCTCACTCTAGTCCTAGCCATGCATTTCTGGAAGGCTGTTGAAATTATATTAAACTATAGCTCTGCTTATGGTTATGTAGTCTTCGGGACCATGGGAAAACCTGATAGACACACAGTAGAATAATTGTATTTCTTTTGAATTCAGGAACAAACAATGCTGTTGCTCTTTGGGATCAAAAAATGTTCTCTAGTCCAAAAAACTGTGGTGTTGGCATAATTGAATGTTTCATCACAGCGTGTGTTTGTTATTATTTATACTTAATTAAGGCCATTTATATAACTACTTGGACATTAACAAAACTCCTTCCCTGTCACTTAGATGTAAGCCTTTAAGAAAGGTCACCTGATATTTCAGTTAAATATTTACCATGCTTTACAGCATTACCTTGGAACTTTCATATTAATGACCCAATCATTTGATGTTCACAGGTACAAAGTAGTTTAGGGCCACAGTGAAACAGACTCTGTTTTATCATTAAAACTTAGATATTGGTGAAAGTTCAAAGTCACATCATCTGCTGAACATGCTACTGCGTGGCAGGTGGACTGATAAACAAGGTACCTTCCAATAGAGATATGCTTAGTAATACTTAATAGAAAGAGGACTTAAAAAAACTTTTATGTAACCAACTCTGTAAAATTTTACCACTTTCTTCATCATCCAAAGTTAAACTCTTGGTCAGTAATTGACATAATTATATTTCCTAATGTGGACAATTTAGCAAATATTAAAAAACTATTTTGAAAAATAGCACATAATAATCGGATGCTGTGATACATTTACTTTAGGTTAAGCTATGTGGTTTTCTATTTTTGTTTTCCTATCTTAAGTTGTAATAAAAAAAACAGTTAGGGATTACAACACTTAGGGGGATACAAAATAAATATTTTCCACCATAAATGTGGCAATTCAGTAGCTGATGTAGAAGAAAGATATTGCCACTCATGGGAGAATGATAGTGGAAAAAAAGTTAATCATTACCCAGGTCGGTAGCATAATTCGTGAGATGACAGCCCAAGTTAGAAGTCAGCCAAAGGCGTTTTAAGTAACACTTGTGTAGTGCTTACATATGCTGGGTGGTTGTCTAAGCACCTCACCACTATGGTAACTCATTCAGTCCTTACAGCAGTCCAGTGAGGTAGGAGCTGTCACTCACCTTTCACAGGAGAGGAAACTGAGGTACAGGCATGCCAAGCCACTTAGAGGAGATGGGGACCCATGCAGTCTGGCTGAGGAGTTGGTGTTCTTAACTACCCTTCTTTGCTATTTACTTCTCAACTCAAATTGGGATTATTAGTAGAGCGGCTTTTGGGTTTCTGGAATCTCATTTTTATAGAACCTCTAAAATGTGGGATGTAATGTAAAAAATAAAATTCAATAATTTTTTTTCTCTCTTTTAAGAACGAAAATAAAGATCTATGTTTCAATTCTACATTAAGTATATGTTATAGACTCTAGGATATATGGTCTGTATGGTCATCTTGGATAATGGCCATATGGATGTTCCCCCCAAAATTATGTCTGTGTCGGGAATAAATTTCATTTCCATATTTTCCAGGAATCTGGCATTTTGGAAATACCCTTTCCTACCATACTAACAGTTTCTTGTTTAGATTTGTTAACTGTTAGTAAATAATGCCCCATTTCCTGATAAGAAAGACGATGATAATATTTAGAAAACTGGTCTTGGTTGAAAAATGCATCTTGAAGTTAACAGCAGCACCTGGAGTCGATTCAGTTTTGTAGGGCTTGAAGCTTATGGGTGACTTCTTTAAGAAAAACAATGCAAAATGAGGTGCAAACAATGCAAAATTAGGTGACTATTGACTAAGAAGAGGTTTATTCAAGCGATAGGCCCTGAAGTTTCAGCTTTATTAGCTTCATGGCAAATTCACCACTTCAGAGAGCAACTAAAATAAATTTTAAGAAATACTGTAAGAGTAAGAATAAAATAATACCTGAAAAGAATTCTTAATTTTTTCCCTCCCGAGGAGCTTTGTAATTGAAAACTTTATGTATATTTCCTCATTTTGTCCCCCTCCCTCTTTTTTATTTCCCCAATAGAAATAAAAATCCTGTTCCCCATAGAAAAGTCCTGCTCCCCACAGAAAGCCTGTTTTGTGAGATGAGGAGAAGGTGAGAGTCAGTAATTTTCTCCAGCTCACAGACACCTGTCAGGCCAGCCCTGGGCACTTCCCACTATCCTTTCAGTATATGAAGTTGGAGAAATAATCTTTTGAGTCAGATACGAAGAGCCTCTTCTCTCAGTGTCTTTATTTTTATTTTACCGGAGAAGACACAAAGGTTGGAGAAATTGACAACAAAGACAAAGCACAAACTCTCCAATTCCCGAATAGAGAGCATTGTTCAAGCTTGCTCACCAGTAGCATCACTGAAGAAAGTTTAATTTAAACGTGAGACAGACCTTGACCATTGGAACCTATCTTTTTTCTAGAAATAATCACTTTTTTCTTTTCTTTTTTTAGAGGAGTTGTCGTTTTTGAGAAAACGACTTCACTCAGTATTGGTGTGTTTTCCCTCTACCTTATTTTCATGTTTCTTTAAGCTCATATAATATGGACTCAGCCATGGGGAGAGATGAAAGAGCTTGGACCCATTCGGCTCTTCAGGTTTGGATCTTACAGTCCTCGTGTCTCTCCATGTGTTCAAATATAAAAAGGGAATTTTGAAAGTTTCCTATTCTTTCTTCCCGCGGTGTTTAGCTCTCACTACGTCATTTAGACCTTTTAAAAGAATGTGTGGGGATAATCAAGCAGATAGGAAAAAAACCCTTAGAGCTGGACACAGGGTTGTGTGGATTGTGACTTCCACCTGTGTTTCTATAGCAACGCTTCACCTACCTTGTAACTATACTAAAGGGTAACAATTCTTGAGTGCTCCCACTTGCCAGCCACCATGTATGACTCTTACCCAATCCTCAAAACAGTCCTAAAAGGTAGGTGTTATCTGTCCCACCTGACACGTGAGAAAACTGAGGGTCAGAAAGATTCGATAACTGGACTAAGGTGACACAGTAAGGGCTGGAGTTACGATTCAAATACAGAGAACTCCAAACCACTGCCCTTTCACTGTATACCACCTCTCAGGTTAGCAGTAGGCGGTAGTTTGGGTGTCAGCCACGGCTATTGTGGTGGCCAGCTGCTGAGGCGGCCCCGTGTGATTGCCCTCTCTCGGTATGCGCGCGCCGGTGTTGAGAATCCACACTGAACACACAGGGCGGACCTCTGAAACCAACAGGATATTGCAAAAATGCACCAGACTGTGGTTAAGCGTCACTTGAGGGAAATATTATTCCAGGCAGAGAGAAAACAAGTGTGGAGGCACGAAGATATGAAAGTGTATGGCATGTGTGAGGGATTATTTATGAAATTAAAGATCAATGCTTTATTAGATTAAATTCTTATTTCTCTCATATCCAGTTTAATTCAATTTTACAGTGATTCCGTTTATTTTGAAACTTAATTCAATGTGAAATTAAGTTGAAATTAAGTTTACGCGTACATTTATGGAAACAGAAATTTCAGCCTATATTGCTCCTTGTAGCCTTTTAATCGTGTAATTGCTCCCCCCCCCCCCCCCCCCCCCTACTGGCGAGGAAAAAACACATGGGACCGATATCAGTTCAGATTTCCTAGGAAGTCACTGTGGACAGTGGAAAGGACCTGGCCTATGAGTCAGAAGGCCTGATGAGACGTTATCTGAGTTTGCCACTAGCTGTTCGTCTGCATCCAGCATTCTTGACTCGTGTGCCCTGACTGTTCGGCTGAGCTTCGGCCTTCCTGGGGTGCGGTCACAGCACCCCAGCAGGGTCAGCCTCGCTTGTCAACGCAGGGGAACTCTTTATCTATCCATCACCCGCCACCATTTATTCATCACTCTAACATTTAGGGAGGTGGACTTGCTGCCAGGAACTGCACTGAGTGGTGGGTTGGAAACA